GAAGTATATTTCGGATCCGTCACATGTTATTCCTATGGATGAGGTTGAGGTAAGAGATAATCTTACAGTTGAGGTTTTATCGGTTAGGATTTTGGACCGTGAGGTTAAGAGGCTCAAAGGCAAAGATATCGCGCTTGTGAAAGTAGCATGGAGAGGTGTTGCGGAAGGCAATATGACTTGGGAATTGGAGAGTAAGATGCGTGAGTCGCATCCAAAGCTGTTTGGATCAGGTAATATTTTCGAGGACGAAAATTTCTAAGTGGGGGAGAGTTGTAACGCTCCGATTTCGATCATTCCCGTTTTATTGAGTCCTTTTTGATTTATTTAAGTAATTATTTTATTTATGTGGAATTTGTGTGATAATATGTTATGTTTACATATTGAACTATTTTTGCCGATTTGAGAGTTTCGGATAAAAATAGGTTGGAGGGTATTTTGGGCATTAGTGATAATATTAAGTGGATATTTTGTGAGAATTAATTGATAAGTGTGTGGAAAGAATTTGAGAGGAAATAAAATAGAATATGTGATATAGAGAGAAAAGAGAAAGATAGAAACATTAAGAAGAAAAACAAGAGAAAGAAAAGAGGAGGAGAGAAAAGAAGAGAAAGTGGAACAAAACCTAGAATCATCAAGAATCAACCTTAGCTTGCGATTAATCAGGTAAGGGTGAGAAGTTATATCATCTTGATAATGTATGTAATCATGTATGTGCTAGATTGGATTTGTTGGATTGTTTTCTATGTTTTCATTTCTAGGTCGGAAGTTGGTTTAATCGGTAGAAACTGAGTTTTATCGGTTAGAATCTGGAATAGATGGTGTAGTTTAGTCGGGTGATGAGTGGGCTATGCTACTGGGACTGATTTAGATTTAATCGGTCGATTTTTGAGGTTTTGGTGATTTTGGAACAGTTGGGATTTTCTGGTTTCGCAGGTTCGCCAGCATTCGCCAGGCGAAGCCCAGCGAGTGGGTAGCGAACCTATGGCAGTGGCCAAGACCAGCCTTCGCTGGCATGTTCTCAAGGCGAAGGTGGTAGCGAAGGGGTTCGCAGGGCGAATTCCAGCGAACGTGGCAGCGAACCTATGGCAGTAGCTTCTGTTTGGCTTCGCCAGCGAGTTCGCCAAGCGAATGGCAGCGAGCATTCGCTGGAGGGCTTCGCCAGGCGAAGGTTAGCGAACTTGACAGCATGTTTTCCTTCTTGTGTTTCCTATTCGTGGGTTGGTTGTGTGGTTTGATTGCAATCATTCCTTATCTGAGATGACTAATTATATGTTGTTATGTACGTTGTGGGTAGCCGTATGGCGTGAATCCTAGTTTGTGATTCGTGAGGTGAGAAATGTGGCCGCTTGGCAATTTTGTGCATTTACTTGAATTGAATAGAAATGCATGGTGAGATTGATTGTGAATGTGAACCATGTATGAAATTGGTTTGAATGGATGATGAATATATATATGCTTTGTGACACATATATTTTGAATGCATAATGAATGTATGCGACGAATGTGATGAATGCATGAGTATGTTTGTAAACATGTATGCATTTCAAGAGTGTCATGAGTCATGTTGCATGTGAAGCATCATGGTATGCATTCTTGTGTTGATTGATTCCTCGGTGAATCTGCAGAACCTCGTGTGCCCTTGTGGGGTGTGAGCGATGGTTATATATTGATTCCTCGGTGAATCTGCAGAACCTCGTCTGCCCTTTTGGGGTGTGAGCGATGGTTATTTATTGATCCCTCGGTGGATTTTCAGAACCTCGTATGTTGCGATGGTTATATTTGATTCCGCGTAGAATCTGCAGAACCTCGTGTGCCCATGTGGGGTGTGAGCGATGGTTATTTTTGGTTCTTCAATTGAACCTGCTAGAATGAGTCGGTACCGCATTTGCATCTACATAGAGTCATGTGTCGGTCTCTATGAGTTGCATGTTGACATCTGTGCATGATGTATGGTGAATAAACATGAATGTAGATGTTTGTGTAAATTGTTGATAATTGGCATGAATGGAAGGCTTGAAGATACATGTATGTGTGAATATATATATATATATATATATATATATATATATATATATATATATATATATATATATATATATATATATATATATATATATATATATATATATATATATATATATATATATATATATATATATATATATATATATATATATATATATATATATATATATATATATATATATATATATATATATATGTATGTATGTATATGTGTGTATGTTTATGAATTGATATAAACATTGATGAAGCATATTGTGTATGTTTGGTGTTCTATTTATATAGATACATGTGTGGATACATTGCGATGTATGGTGTAGTGAGATGAGTTGCGGTGAGAACGTGAAAGATGTTATTGGACGTTATGTGTGTGTGTGTGTGTGTATATATATATATATATATATATATATATATATATATATATATATATATATATATATATATATATATATATATATATATATATATATATATATATATATATATATATATATATATATATATATATATATATATATATACACACACACACACACACACACACACACACACACACACACACACACACACACATATATATATATATATATATATATATATATATATATATATATATATATATATGTGTGTGTGTGTGTGTGTGTGTGTGTGTGTGTGCATTATGTGTTATGATATTATTTCTCACCCTTCTGCTATTTTATAATGCTCTATGAGGCATTGCAGATTAGATTGTTGGAGTCTTTGTGAAGCGTGGCTTCATTCTTTTTGGGTCGATCGACTCTGATATGTAGCACCGGGTAGCTAGGGATTATTTTGATTCTTTTGTGATACATCTATGTTTGTATCTGCTGATGAATGTTTATGTAAACATGCTGGTTGAATATTGTTTATATTGATGATGTTGTAAATCAACTTGAATGATGTACATGTATGTGATTACATATTTTGGAAGTTATGAAATATTTAGATGTTTCCGCCTATGTTCTAAATATTTTCCTTGTGGGTGTTGCCCCGTTGTTGCATATCTGTTGAGCAGGTGTTGTATATGTTGAATTTTTGGTATAATGTGATATGCCCCTTTTATGCCGTGATATAAATGTACTCTGATGAAATTTTGTATTTATGCCTAAATGATTAATTGTGTTTATTTGGGGGTATAGAAAGGGAGTGTTACACATACACCTATAACCTTAAGGTTTTGGATGAATATGTGGTGTCTCTCTCACTTGTTTGGGTGAGTCTTTGATCTTTAAGTGAATGTTTGATCCAATGTGTATGATTACCCCTCATGATGACCCATCAGTGATATTAGAGCCCGGTTCGAGTAAGGGACCAGCTCCTGTGTCGAAAGTCTTTCAGTCCCTGTGGTTAGGAAGTGTGTTCCGTTGAAGTGCCCAATACGAGATAAAGGTGTCTCTCAACGGCGGTACAAACATGTGGATGTAAGAGCTTCCGTTTGAGAGAGATTATAGTGGATTGACTCACAATTGAGGGGGAGATTGTTGAAAAATAAGTGTGAGTTCTAAGTCCCACATTACTTAGAAAAGTGGAGGTTAAGCACTTTATAAGTAAGAGGATCCATACACCTATCACCTTAAGATTTTTGGTGAATATATGATGTCTCTCTCACTTGTTTAGGTGAGTCTTTGATCTTTAGGTGAATGTTTAACCCAATATATATGCTTTAGTACTGCAGCATGTGTCTCCCGAAGGATGAATGTGTCAACCTATAGAAGAAAATTGTCTTCTATGTGTCGACATATAGTCGTATGTGTCGACACATACTGTAATACTTCCATAAAATTTGTTTTCAATGCATTTTTTATGTATGAAGCTTCTCCAAAATATTTTAATACTTCCTAATGTTAAGATACACATATAGAATTAGAGAATACCGTCTAATATACATTAACGCTAAAATATCATAGTTTTAACATCATGCAAAATACATCTAACAGAAACTTACATTCACATAAAGAAAAGACTCATTTAGCATAAATTTAGTGTATTAAAGTGTGTCCAAAATAAATTTTCAATTTTCAATAGATACTTCTCCACCACAATTCCCCTATAATTTGAATCACAATTTTAACAATACGAGAGACTTATGAGAGGTGGGGGAGAAAATTTTCACTTGTGCAAGTGTTGAAATTTTAATTTAGATGAGGATTTGATATCTTGTGTTCTATGTTCAGATTTCCCTAGTCTTGAATATCATCATTTTGGCATGAGGTATCAAGGTAGGTTAGGTGTTATGTTTATCATGCCATCTCATTTGCCACATTTGATGTCTTCTTACATCTCTTTGATTCTAACTAAGGGAAGGAAAGGACTTGCTTTGACGATGCATTCTTTCCCTTGAGTCAATCTGTCTAAACATATTGAAATTTTATACTTAACATACACCAATATTAAAATCCTTTGCTTTGAACAAAAATACCATGAGAAACAATGATAGTTATTAGATATGACTTTGATCCAATTTGTAAAATCACAAATGTAACTAAATTTTCATTGCAACATATACAATAAATTCATTCATACATGGTTAATATCATCTGCGTGTAATTTTCTACCTATATAACTGCATTCGCCACCATTTGAAACCTTGCACAAGATAAGGGTCGTCAATTGTCATCTTTTTTTAAGTTGACAATTTACAATCTTTATCGTGTTAAGATCGTAGATGTTAGAAAAACCCTTTATATATTTTTATCTATACACTCGAGATATGTTTTGAATGTGAAGAATTTGAACCCGTACACAGAAAAATAACGCAAACATAACCAAGCTGCTGCCAATACTCGCCGAAGTACCCTGCAATTCTTCTATGCTGAGTGAGGATAAATTCTTCTATTCAGCAAAATCAAGGTTGTCAAGTAACGGTCTCTGCCGATTTCCATTTCCATCATAAACCAGAAGAAAGATTGCTGCAGCGGCTTAGAACGGAAGCTTTTCATACTTCATTTACAGTGTTTTTACACTACATGTATGATATGAGGTTGAGGCTGCAAACCTCCTTGCTCGATTTCATCATCCGATGAACTTACCAAGACACTAGGATGCTCCTAATCGTTACAAGGAAAATAACACGAGAATTTACTGATGTCAACCACATGAAAGAGACAAAAGGTTATAAACTATGGTAGAAACTCACTCGATGTTGTCTCCGATGTCGCTGGATTAGTGCCACTGCTCTAACCATGAAGTATATAGGTACGACAATTCCAGCACTCCGAAATAATAAAACCTACCAAAACTCCATTATATCGAAAACAAACTTGGTAAGTAAGAGAATGATCGAAGCATTCACTGAAAGTCAGAAATAATCGCCTTTATGTTATGCAAAACGTACCATGAAAAGTGGGAAATAAAAGTCTTTACTTCCACTAATGAGCAGGGGAAGTGTATGTCTTAAAATCAGCAGAACCATGAACTGCACATGAAAAGAAATAACGATTGAGAAATATCTGAACCAGAAAGTGTAAAGGCATGTGTACGTAAGATGGGAGAGAGTGGAATTACAATGATAGCAACCGAACGACAGCATATCAAACTTCCTGAAGAAGAGGCGGAATATTGATCATAGTTGGAATTGTTAAGGCTCTGGTCAGAGGGAACCATGCTAACCAAATGAGTACTATTTAAGTCTCTTCGCGAAATTTCCCAATTTCCCCTGACATAAACAGCATTGGAACATATAAGAAAACGGAGTCAAAGAAACATGGTTCGCATTAGGGGGAAAAACACGAGACTATTGCATGGAAGTTACCTGAAACTCATTGGAATTCGTCCAAATTGAAATAGCGGAGGAGGAGCTGTATAATCAGGTTTGAATGGCTGAAATTTACAGTACAATGAAAAAAATCATCAATTATATCGAAATAAAGTGGAAAATATCATGAGTCAATTATCAATGGAACAAGTACATAGAAATGTAATGTGAATAAGGAACTTGAAACAGTTTAAGTTACCTGGTGACATATCTCACAGGTGGTGTCACCCTTCTCATTACACCATCGTTGTACACATCTTCGGTGCGCATACTGCAAAAATCAATCAGAGTTTAAGCTAACAACTTTAGCACGCAAATTTCATGTATTTAGAAGCTTAACAACTTTCACAAATTAAAAGAACCAAAACAAGCTTAACAACTTTCACAAATTAAAAGAACCAAAACATGCAATTACGAACATGCTAGTAAAGAACAAACCTTCAAACTACCAGAACAAGAGCAAGGTGTCTCCATATTCGAATCATCATCATCATCATGACATATCCTACATTCCACCATCTTCCCTGAACATTTCACACTATCCAGACCCATCTTCAACAAAGACAGATCAATTTCCGCGTCATTCACCACCGAAGACGCAGCCTGCATCGCCCGCTTTCTGCTTTCAATCGCAGCCTCTAACGTCGATTCCGTAAGCAATCGATCCACCAGTAAATCAAAGTGATCCCCCATCTTTACACACCTAAATACCACAACTCCCAAACAAGGGAATCCTATATTCAGTATACCTAATTCTCTAGGTCAAGTAAAGCTCCTTCAGAATTTCTGGAAATGAAAAACCATTTACAAGCAAAGAAACAAAATAACATGTCAGCAAACACATATAGAAAAAAAGCCAAATTTTCTTTCTAGATTCTCAAAATTATGGAAATTATCTTCATGCAGAAATTAAATATTCCTAGTTCCAATTACAAAACAAAAAACTTTAAAACTCAAAAACACAAATGCATCTAATCAAACCTAACAATCAGAAACATGAAATTAAAGCAACATGGAATATTAATTCAGAGTAATAAAAAAACATCAACTTTAGAAAAAGGGTACACCCCAAATGCAGAAACATTCTACAAACACTAAAGACAGAGAGAGAAAACTGAAAAAAACGGACCCAGATGAGAAAAAGGGAACAAGAGAACAAAAAGCAAACACCTTTGTGTATGTGATGAAATAAAAAACGAAAAAAGGTGCTAAAAAATAGAAGGGTAGGAATCTTACAAGAAAGGGATTGCAATTTGTTGAAGAGAAAGTTTGAAAAGGATTGGGAATGAAGCAAGAGATAGAGTGAATGAATGACTAAAAGAAGAGATGCGAAATTTGCTCGTGGTAAATGTGAGGTTTATAGAGTAATGATGCGGTGTGTGTTGTTATATATATGAGAGAGAGAGAGAGAGAGAGAGAGAGAGAGAGACTGAAGGTTAAGGGAGCGAACCGCCATGAAAGTGATGATGTGTTGTTCACCGTTATTCTCTCTCTTTTTTCATGCTTTTGTTTCGTCCTTTGCATAACTACCACGATCTTGGTGTGGTTTGCGCATTAACATGACCCAACTGAAAATTTTACATGTTTTCTAAATTTTTATTTAATTATTATTTAATAAAGAAGATTTAAGTTTTTTTATTTAATTATTGATGTTAAATTTTATAATATTAATCATTGAAATGAATATTTATATATCAAAATACAAAACATTATTATTCCTTTTATTTATGGATGAAAATGAGTCGAGTCGAGTCGAACTCACCTTAACTCGACTCGACTCGTTAAAAATTGGTTCGAGTTCGAGTTCGACACGAACTTTTTTTAATCTCAAACTCGACTCGTTATAAGTTCACAAACAGTTCGGTTCAACTCGTTAGGTTCATCTCATTAGATTCAGCTCACATGATTCACGAACTTAAAAACTATTTTTTTAAATATATATATATATATATATATATATATATATATATATATATATATATATATATATATATATATATATATATATATATATATATATATTAGTATATTTGACATTTTAAATAAATATATTTTTTAAAATAAAATATTAAAATAAAATAAAAGTTAGCATATTGAAATTTAACTTTATCTTCGAAATCTACTAATTCAAAACCTACAAAACTTTCAAGAGATACATTTTAGAGTCTAATTCAAAAACTACTAAATTGAAGATTTAATTTGTCTAAGATTTGGAGTAAATATTTAAACCTAATCTTAAAGACAGTATAATTCTTCTCATATTTAATCGAGTTGACTCATGAACCTAACGAGTAGAACTATGTATAGTTCAAGTTCAACTCATTTAGTTAACGAATTTAATTTTTTGCTCATACTCAACTCATTTAGTTCAACGATTTAATTATCGAATCGAATTTCGAACTATTTTCGAATTGGTTCGGTTCATTGTCAGCCCTATTTCTATTGTTAAAAAATTAAAAGTATCAAAGTTAATTAGTATAACAATATTATTAAATTTTTTAAAATTTTTATTGAATGCAAAGAATTATCAAGCCAAAAAATATCTTAAATTTTTATTGAATGCAAAGAGTTATTAAGCAGAGTAAGTTGATGATCACCTTTTTTATATATTAAAAATAATTCTCTTTGATATATGGAAGAGTTTTTTTTTTTAAAGTTGAATTCACATATATCATTATGTTCAAAAAAAGATTATATACATCGGACGAAAAGTAATTTTTCATATTGGATTTGGGTCTGATGTAAAGTCAAGCAATGTAGTAAATCAAAGATATTTTACACTGGTCAATAGTCCGATGTGAAAAATATACCTCTACATTGGTTGACTGTTACGTGTGATGTAAAATATGGGTTTAACTTTTTTTTTATTATAAATAAATGCATATTTAACATCGATTGTCTTTCTGACCCGATGTAAAATGTAGGTTGTTACATCAGTTGCCTTTCTGCCCCGATGTAAAATATAGGTTTTTACATCGGTTGCAAAGCGCCTCAGATATAATATGTATGCTATCTTTTTTAAAAAAATTAGAGTACTTTTTAGCGGAATCGAAGTGGAATCTCTGTAAAAAAATTTTATACCTAATTTTTCATATTTTTCCAACATCACACATACCACATTTAAGTTGCTAGTTGGTATCTAATTTTTCATATTTTTACAACCAACCTGTTAATTTCATTGTTTCAAATATCTAGGATGCACATATTCTTCCAAATGAACAATTGATTTACAAAAGTATTAATCTAGGATACACACAAGTCTACAAAATTATAAGTATGTTTACACGGTGGACTAATACAACAACAAAACCAGTGAAAACATACAAAAATATCCAACCATTTTTATAAGTCTTTTACCACACTTGAATTACCAACATGCAATCCACAAAAAGATGACTTATAGCTTCAGTAGACAACGCCAAAATCACATTTGCTGACAATAAATAATAACACCAATTAATATCAGCAGACAACACCAAAGTCAAGAAACTCAAATCAGATATATATATATATATATATATATATATATATATATATATATATATATATATATATATATATATATATATATATATATATATATATATATATATATATATATATATATATATATATATATATATATATATATATATATATATATATATATATATATATATATATATATATATATATATATATATATATATATATATATATATATATATAGAAAATTCTATATAACTCACCAGATAAAGCTTAATTTTTATATAACTCAAGGAAACATGTTGCCCAACGGAGTCGCAAATCATACAAATCATTGTGTGTTAATTCTGTTGCGTCATCAAATACCTACAATACGTAAATAACAATATAAAATTATTCTTTGAAAATTCACATTAAGTTGCAAAACGCAAAGTAAATAATAAAGTAAAGTTATTTTTATTACCTGCATCCAAGACTCGATTATATTGGCAGAGACAATATCCAACATATTTTTTATCACATAGTACCCACAATCAATAGAGTTATGTTGCCGCCTTGTCTACAAATGAATGACATAATTAGTGAATACTTATGATAAAATTAAATATAGAATTATGATTTACACCACGCTTACATTGGGTTGAAGCCATTAGCCTTTTTTTTCTATTATCATTTTCCATTTGATAAAACCCAAAAGCACTAACTCAGAAAGAAAAAAAATTCATATAAAGCCACATAAAATATGAAATTACTTTTGTAATAATTTATGTATATAGGACATATAATATATTATAACAAAAGTCACATAAAAAATAAACTTACTTTATAACAATTTTTTCATGGTTTGATTAAGTTCCCAATGAAGTGAACAAAAGACGACCACAATATTATTTTTTGGACAAATGATTATTAATTGTCAATGATCTCTGTGTGTGGATACACAAAAGTCACATAAAATATCTATGTTATCAAAATTAAAAATAGAAAATACAACTTCATACAAACTTATCAATGAATAAATGGTAGTAAGTGACACACTCTCTTTTCGTCACGTAACTTATCTTGTATATATTTTTTTAACATTTACTTCAGTTTTCGGCACATTATCAACATACATACACCTAGCAGGATCCATAACTGATGTGGAATTATCAATACATACACGATGAGTATACCTGAATAATTTTAAAATAAACATTAGAATCAATGTGATAAGAGATATAATATATTAATAGATATTGGCAGTAATAAAAAAATAAATTCGGTAAAAACTTTTGTCAGTCCACCCATTATTTTGAGACATCACACAAGAGTATTTCCCCTCATTCCTAATACATAAAATAATATAACCAATTAACAATCTCATCCCACACTCTTCTTTTTACAGTACAAACAAAACATGAAATAATCTAAGAAAACAACAAAAAAATCCAAGAACTGAAAAGTCATAAAACAAAAACGTTGAAATACTATAGGTAGCAGAAGCAAGAAACTCATCAATGAACAATAAGAATTGTATTTCAAACTATATCGTCAATCACGCCAGTTTAATTCAGCACGTAACAGCGGAACATACGTAAAGATTGTAATTTCGCGGCGCGTCGGCTTTTACAGTGGCGCCTACTGCAGCCTCAAATTGCAAAGCGAACGCATTCTCGTGCGCGTTAAATGAAACGGGAATGAAAAATCATGAAAATTAAAATAGATGAAGAATAAATTTACCTGGAAGAGTTTGTCGCTGATGGTTAACTGCGGTCGAGTTTTCCGACAACGGTTGATTTGGTTGTTGATGAAAAATCTACACCTTTCTCCATAAATACAACTAAAACATGAACAACAAACAAACAAACACCAATAGAAATGATTTGTATGCTTAAACTGATAATCGATTTTGTTACAAGAATGGAACACGAACAATACACTATGAAGAAGAAGAATAATAACTTGCCTCATTGGAAATCTACGAGAAATACGGCAGCAGCTAGGATTTCATAGAGGAATAAGAGAGTAATGTTCGTGGTCGGCTGCGCTTGGAAAGAACAAAAAATATATTCGTGGAAGATGAACTAGGGTTTTAGTGAGATTGGAGCTTTTACATCGGTTGCAAAGAGGCCCGATGTAAAGGTTCACATTTTCACATCGGGTTCAAATCCAGGATTGGTGTGAAATTCTTTATAACTAAACTTCATATTATTTATAAAACGGCCACCTTGTTATTTTTTCATCAG